TTACAAGGAGGCTGCAGGAATCCGGGACTCAGAGTCTCTGAGCTGCAGATTTCCTGTGCAGAAAACCTAATTTGTTGTTGTTGTTGTGAAGATGCACTTTGTTGAGTTAGTGGAAGAAACAGATCTGAACATAACTTATTCAAGTATATTACCATTATTATTTGTATTGTTTTATCTTGTGCACCTGAGGTCACGTTTCCCACCTGAGATTATAAACCACGGAACTGTATGTTTAAGTTATCACTACTTCTCTGGCGTTCTTTGATTCTTGTGAAGCATTGTGGGACTTTGTAGAAGGAGCTTTACTAAATAAACCTCACCCAGTAAACTTTACAAGAAGTCGTCTTTTAAAGTGCAAACACTTGAGAACTGAAGGACACTCTGAGATTAAATGTTCCTAATCACCTCTAATAACTCTTTTCCTCTGTCTACATGAGGAGGCAGTAAATCTGCTCTGAGCTGCGCAGTATTTTCTGGACGTTTCTCTCCCTCCATCTCTCCTCACATTCTTCACAGGGCAGGTTGGGCGACCGCTGTAAGTGGCGTGATGTTTGGGTAGAGCCGGGGAGGCCGGGCCGGCGGGGGTTAGCACACAAAGGCGGCATGAAGGCGCTGAGCCAACCAGGCCCCGGTCCCAGAGCTGTCAGGCCCGTCACGATCCGAGCGACGCAGCTTCTCCTGCGCTTCGCTCGTCCGTCTTCACATTCCTCGTCCGCCTGCATCCCCTCCGTTATCTTTCTGTCTTGTTTAACAACTCTCCGTCCTCCCTCCTGTTCTCTCCCTCTTGTTTTTGGCAGCTCACCCTCCTCCCCTCTGTTATAGAAGCTAGCACAAAACATCCAGACACAAAAGGTGCAGCGACTAATGAGCAGCGAACCAGAGAGTAAGAAGCCAAAGCTTTAAAACCGCTGTCAACACGTAGCAACACACAGGACACATTCAATCAAACGGCTCGTTAGGTAAGAAGTGTGGAAGCAGGTAAATCACAAAGACCACGACCGTAAACTACCATCATTACTCAATCACGGTTCTTTAAGACGTGCACTGAATCCAGACATGTTCCTGACATGCTCTGTATGTGAGGACAAATGTCTGAGTCAGTGTCTCTGGACAGTTTCTGGATCTTTTGTGTGTCCATGTGAGAAACCGGCAAAAGGAAAATGTCTGGAAACGTCCCAGTGAGCGACGTGAAACTGGGAGAACACAAATATCTCAGGATGAAGAAGTCAAAGAGAGACTGATACAGTAAATGTGAGAGAGCCGGTCGCTCCTCTGGTGTGATGACGTTTCAATACGTCAGGCGTGTTAAGTTTGATGTCGGGTTAAATTAAAAAAATATGTGAGAAGGGTCAAATGAGAATTAATGGTTGAATCGTATATTTAAAGATTTAAAACGAATGTATTCTTGTTATTTTTCTACGAGCGGATACTGTGACAGAATAAACTGTTACGCATCCACCTGCTGTGATAATGGCGAGAGGCCTGAAGACGAGCGGATCAATCTCTCCACAGTGGAGTCGTTTAAACACGTCTGGCAGCCGCTCCGGACTCTGACCTTTGGACATTGTTTCCAGAGGAATCACATGATGAAAGAAGCGAGAGGGCTTCCACTCAAGGCCGCGACTTATTTCTGCCGTGGGTCGGCCAGGATGCAGAAATAAAACATGGTCCACATGTTGCTGTGTGTGACGGGGAACTCGGGTGTGTTTACTGGGATTAGACGCTTCAACAGTCAATAAATTTCACCTCGACATATTCACTGAAGTCAAGTTTTCACCGGTAAAGTAAAAATGAAGGCGACTGTTCAGAATGTGGAGAGACAACGAACTTGTGCTGCAGCGAAACAGCTCCACTTCACTTCTGTGACGCTAATTGATGATTGATGGTCGACAGTAATAATAAATCCTCAAACCACTAACGAGAAAGTTTTGATTCATCTTTTCACTTATTTCCACCAAACAATTAACAGATCTCGTTTCTTTTATAACATTTCTGAGATGCACAGCAATTCCCTCATCTACTGTTGATCACACAAACCAAACCACTGCTTCAGTCACACACTGCGGCTCATATGATTGATTAAAGAGCAACACGTGATTTTTTTTATCTCGTGTGTCACGTAACATTTTGCTGAGACAAATATATGTCGACGGGAATCGTGTTCAAAACTAAAAAAAATAAATAAAAGCGAGGCTGTAAATCTCTTCCATCCTGTGATGGCGCCGACAGTAAGTGGACACTTGCATCTAAACATTCCAGTTTGCACATCCTCCCTCGTCAACGTGAGTTATATCCATCAGACGTGGCGTTTTAAATAAACACGGGCAGAACCTCATGAATCACGCAACTTCATCAGCACAGTTATGACTTCCAGGCAGCGACAATGAAACACAAACACCGACGGAGGGAAACACACGACACGACCACAACTTAAACAGACACACAGATCACAGGGACGATTTTCCTCCTGCAGGCCTCCTTCTCCTAAAATGGCCGATAGCTCTCGGGCCTGAAGGAGACGCTCCTGGACTCGTCTCCTAACGTAATTTCCCTCGACTCGCTTTCATCCCTAATGACGACGAGCACAGTCGACTGCTCTGCTCGGACTCAGCTCTGATGTGATAGAGTCTGTTGGCGAGCAGCGAGTCACAAGGTTCGACTGGATCGAGACAAGAAGGCGTCAGAGGAAATCCATCTCTGCTGATTGAAATCAATTCTCTCCTCGTCGTGGTGTGAAAGATTATTTTCCTCTCATCGGAATCAAAAGCCGCAATTGTCTAAAACTAAACGTGTGTCTGTGACTAAAGGAGGTGAAATGAATGACGGCTTTTCCACTGGTGACATGAGAAGATTTAACTTTTGTCAATAAACGTATAACGAATGTTTCAGGTGTTTCAGGTTTTTAACTTCCAAACAAAACATCTGACTTAAACCCTGTCACTCAATATTTTTTAGTCAGCTGTTCTCACCTGAAAACTCAAACCAGCTCACGTACAATGAAAGTAATAAATATTATCTATATTGCACATGATAAGAAATTAAAATCCCCAAACCTCCCTTAAAGCACAAACAGATTTCAATCAGAGAAAATGAATCCGACAATGACGTCGGCACAAACGGAGACAAATCTGAACCGATGAGTAATCGAAGTAGGCCCATGACATCATCACTCCACTGGGTGGAGGTTACACACTGGTCAGGTTTAAAAGATATAAATATATTCAGGTAAGAAAAAAAAGGTCCAGAAACACGTGAACTTTAAAAACTAATGTGCAAAATGAATAAATCACGTCCGAAAAGGAAGAAGTGAAGTCGTATCAAGTTGTGTAATTCCAGCTTTCATCAGAAACAGCCGAATCAGCAAATGCACCGTCATGACTCAGCAGGAGCAGACAAATTAAATGTGATGTTTCTCATCTTTGTGGATCATTTCTAAATCATTATCTCTCACCAATGAGTAATCGCTGCATGTAATTTAAGAATAATCTGTATCAACACGTCAAACTAATACAAGCAAGTAGAGAAGTCGGAAGGAAGACGTTTTTCTTTGATCGTGCTGCAAATGAAATGACATTTTTAAAAGAGTCAATATTTACTCGGTGTGATGGTGTTCAACAATCAGAGGACAGGGCACCACTGGTTGTGACGTCATTTGAAAAGGGAAACACACACACACACACACACACTATAACATTCATTAATGTTGCCAATTAGCCTCCAATTAAGCAACATCAGATCTGGGAGAACTCCAAGTGGTGATCAGATGTCTGTGATCTCCGAGCAGAACGAGGAGCAACGAGATACAACACGATGTGTGACACAGTTCTGTCTTCAAACCAGAGGTTTTCTGTTGCGCAGCACTTTGTACTTGTGTTGCAAAGAGCTCTACTTTATAATTATGATTATTTAGTTGACCCGTTGCGTCTTCATGCTCCATCTCGAGCTCTGAGCTCGACCAAACTGACGCCTGTGGAAGATCTGAGCTCAAAAACAGAGGGGACCGGGCCTTATAGCATCGGCTGGGTCTAATCTCTGGAACGGTTTACCTCCTCGTTCTACCGTTTAAAACATTTCTCACTGACACACCTTGATTTCAAATGTAATTGTGCAATAATCTGAATCTCACATATTCATAAGGTTGATTTAGTTTTGTATTTATTCAGTTTTTCTCTATATTTTCTGTCTTTTAAAGCCTGTTCATCCCTCGGCTCACTGTGCTCCTGTGAAACCTGCTTTATAAATAAACTCTGACTGGATAAAACAAGTAATAACTCATTAAAGTGTGTTAATACACACACATATATTATATATTGAATTTATAAGTGAGGAGAGGGTTTTTTTTAAGTACATTAGCTCAGTGATGGTTTCTAAAGTCATAAAGTTATATAATATAAGACTTTTCAGGCAAAACCTGCAGCAAACACAAACTTTGAATCCTTTAATTAACTATTTATGATGTTGAATTGCTTTTTCTTTTTCTTCTATTATAGTTTTATATCTTTGGAAGCTTGTTCAACAACTCTGGTCACTGTGGTTGTTTTAAACCTGCTATTTAAATAAACTTTGACAAACGATATGAGTTAAGTGTTGTAACAACTGATCCACACTGTCCATACACACAAATACACTGATTTATCACTGAGGAGAGGGTTTATTTTAAAGTACAGCAGCTCACTGTTGGTTTCCAAAGTCAAAAATTACAGTAATCAAACACTGGAGCTTGTTTATTTGGACTTTTCCCTCCTTTCTGAGCTGATTCTCGTTAAAAGGCTGCTCTCATGCACAGACTCAGTCTTCACTTACCTTCCACGAGCTGATCTGAGCATTAACACACATTAGTTTCTCACGAGGCTTCTGTCATGAAGCTCTCAGGTTAAACTGGTGTTTGAACAGGGATTTACAGCAGAGAACAGGTCACAAGCTGCAGCAACAAGTTTCAGTCTGATGAGGACGATCAGATGAATCATGTCTGAGCTGCACAATAAAGACTAAAGTCTCACCTCTTCTTCTCTTTATCTCCAGTCATGTTTCCTCCTCTGCACGAATCAATGCTTTAATCCGGGCGATGGTTTTAGTCCAACTTCAGAGTCACAATAATGAAACTCAAGCTGTTGCTGGAGAACCGAGTCTGCAGCGGGTTAGTCCACAGAGTCAGGCCGGCTGAAGAGGCTGCAGGACCGGGCTGCTGCTGCTGCTGCTGCTGCTGCCGCCGCCGGTGCTCTGGAGCTCCTGGAGCCGGTGGTCGAGGGGGTTTCGGGGGCGTACAGTCTCAGAACACTGCCGAGGATTGTACCGCCTCTGTCCCGCAGACACACGGAGAATTGGCCGCTGTCACTGGAGCGACTGAGACGATCAGCGCCGCGGACTCGAACTTTTCCAGAGACTGAAACCAACAGTTTGTTCTTTGACCTGCGGATCAGCTGATTCACACACGCAGGCCCCGCCCATTGGCTGGAAATTCCGCGGGAACACGCCCCATACCCCGCCCCCCCGAGAGTCCAGCCCCGCCCCCACCACCGCCCACCTGTTTGACCCTGTGACAGGTGAGGACACAGGAGACACAGGTGAGGACACAGGTGAGGACACAGGAGAGGAGACAGAGGACACAGGTGACAGGTGAAGACTACTACTATGACTATTTTCACATGCATGAAACAAAAATCTATATTATATTTGTATAAAAATCTTTGTATTATATATTCATGTATATTTTACTTTTTATAATAAAGGTTCATCTTGTCTCATCTTTACATTGACCTCAATAACATCATGGATTTATGGACGTGTTGCAAAAATACCCAAACAAGCTGTATTTAAATGTGCAGAACAATGATCTATATATAGTATTTCTTCTGTATTATTTATTTTTGCTGTCTCTTACCTTATCTGATCTTGTCTAGTGTCCCACAGTTCACAGATTTAAAGGATTATTCCACTGAAAACCTGTTTTCAGGACTCTCATCATCTGTCTATAAAATCTTCGCCCGCAGATGCAGGTGATGTCCTCAAACGTCTAATCGTGTCCTAACGCTCAAGTCATTCACCACAGGCCCATTAAATTCACAGTGTCACACAGACAACACCCTGATGTTTGAGAAGCCATAAAAAKAATAATGACACTCGCGGAGCGTCACATGAATTAATTAATCTCGTGTCTTTAATGTAAACATGTCGCAACAAAGAGCTTCTTGTGTTGTTGCTTCAGTGAACAGACGGAGGACGAGTTCGTGAAACTACGAGAGTCAGTTTGTACTTCGGAGCAAAATGAGACTCAAACATCGGGAGTTGATTATAAAACAATTTAATTTAGTTTAGATTTACTGGTGTTGAATTAGATGATTAAATGTGAATTTAATTACCTTGTTACCTGCAGAAGCAGGGTGTTGTTTTCACCTGTGTGTGTGTGTGTGTGTGTACAAAATAACTCAACAACACATGGATGGATTTTTAGGAAACTTGGTGGTGACATTCGCAGGGAGAGCATCTCCAGATGATTACGTTTTGGAGCTGATAGGTCAAAGGTTCAAGGAACACATTGGCATTATTACACTATATAAAAAAGGAATTTAAGTTACCTTTGCCTGATTATTTACAGTGTGTTTTTGTTTTTCCAATAAGAACGTGTGTATTTTCTCAGATTTCGATGTTCATCCCATCCCACAAAGAACCTGAACACGTATTTTATTTCTGTATGTGGGCTGCGGCGACCGATCTGGAATAGTAGACATGTGTGCGTGTGCATGTAGGTTAAATAAGGAACTCAGTGATCTCGAGCTGCACTTCCTGCGTCATGACAACCTGCTCTGCATATTCTCACGGAGGCCTCGGAGCGTTAAGTCATTTCAGGGGCAGGTCTCGCAACATTTTTCACAAACCAACAGACAGATAACTGCTTCTGGCATTTCACCGCGTCCTCTCCTGTCAACCGCTCAGGAGTTTTAGATCGAAAAGATCAGTCGGCTACAGAGCGGCAGCACCAGAGGAGGAACCACCCGAGCACAACCAACTTTTCTTACATTGTAAGGTCATGTGATAAATAGTCATCTCATTAAGTGGGAAAGTTTAATCTTTGCAAACTTCAAGATGAGGATTAAAGAAGAGATTCATAGAATTACAGCGTCCACGGGGTCACTGTGACCTTTGACCGCTGACATCTATTCAGATTCATGTTCAAGAGCACAAACACGTTTTGAGGCCACAGTGACCTTAACCTTTGACCTTTGACCATGCAAATCTAATCAGCTCATCTTGATTGCATGTTCAGATCGTGAAATACTTTTAAAATCTTCGTGCTCACACTGAAATAGCCGCTGCGTGGGGTCACCTGGTTGAGCCCAAACTAAATTTGAGAGACGACAAAAACATGAGGTCATCCTGACTATGAACTTCGAATCACCTCCTCTGTGACTTCAGGTGTTTTCATCAAATTTGAAGAAATAGAAGGCGTTGTTGAGATATCGTGCTCACAACAACCTGAGAGCCTCATGGCCACTGACTGTAGTCGGCATAGAGACATAAAAAAGCAAAGAAACCACATTTTCTTTTCTGACATCATGATATTTAATTCATTTCAAAAAACTAAAACTATACACCTTCACATCCTTTTAAAGTACAGTACATTTGGCACGCAGCGCAAAAAAAACAACATAACACAAACACATGTAAGGCATGGAAATGATTCTTACAGGAACAAAACCACAGAAAACCAAATGTAAAAACAAAGCTTCACAAATACAGGGTCCGGAAAAAAAAATCCTGCATCATCCGACCCAAGGAAGAAGAAGTGTCAGTAAAAATCATAATACTGTCGATCACATGCATTCCAACACCTTTCACTCGTCACTGGACAGACACAAGACAAACAAGGTTTAATTTATTCTTTCTGTAGCAAACATTCAAACTAAAGGGATTGTCAGCAGAACATTCGGAGTGTTTGGCGTTCAGTGAGCGAGGACGTCTGGGGGAGGACGTCCTGTTCGGGCTAGAAAATGTAAAGATCGGTTTGACGTTTATTTTATTAAATTGAAATTAAATGACAAAGAAGAGAAGAGGAATGAAATAATGGAAAGATGTTGGTCTTTATTCTGCTGTTCATACTGGTGTGTGTGTGTGTGTGTGTGTGTCTGTGTGTTGCAAATTGCTACTGTGTCAAACATGACTTCTGCTAGAACACGTGTCATGTTTTCACTGCTACATGCGTGTGTCGCCTGCTCGGACTCTTCTGGTCGTCGGGCAGGTTACATGGAAACTTGGGATTAATGAAACGAGTTAAGCTGCAGTGAATGTTTGTTTGTTTGTTTGTTGTTGCTCCTTCCTCTTACGTTTCAAATAACTAATTAAATTAAAACCAACCAATCACTGCTGACACTGACAGAGACGGATTTACACTCCATACATTACAAAACAAGAAATAACCACAAGGTTTTAGATATATATTAATGTCAACATTATAGAAGCTGCTTATGGTCGAATCTCAGGAACTGGGATTGGCTGAAATGTGAATGTGTGTGTGTGTGTGTGTGTGTAATAATTCTTCCTTCTATGAATTGAGACAGTCTGTCCACTTTGTACCTGAACATGTCTGTGGAGGAAATGAGAGAGAAAGAAGGAGGAAAAAACAAATAGAGACAGGATAAAAAAAGAAAATAACAAATATTGCACACAGACTTTTCATGAAGATGTTTGGATTCTTTTGAGTTCATGAAAGTCACAGACAGGTCGTACAGAGAAGTGACAAAGAGGGTCAGAGGGTCAGAGGGTCACAGGGTCAGAGGGTCACAGGGTCAGAGGGTCACAGGGTCACAGGGTCACAGGGTCACAGGGTCAGAGGGTCGACCACGAGGTTCTGATCGAGTCAGTTTCACCACATCAATGTGAAATCTGAAGGTTTCTGAAAACATCAGAAGATCCAGTAAAAACAACACAAGGATAAAAAATTTAACATGAGCTCTAAACCTACAGTATGCACACACACACACACACACACACACACACA